AAGCCACTCCCCTGCCTGGCTGTCTGGGTAGCATGTATGCAGCCTGAGGAGGGGCACCACTGCCCTCACCCACCCTGGCCCTGCTCCTGGGAACAGACACAGAGAGGGGAGGGGCACTGCAGTGTGCAGCATGGGGCCAGCAGCACCCAGTGCACCCCTCCCCTTCCTGTTCCCATGGTAAGAAGCAAAGTATGGGAATGTGCCAGGGGAGGTGCCACTGCTGCACCCTAGGGTACGCTCCATACTCACACATCTGCTGGCCTGTGCATACCCGCTATGGCCTTTCTAAGTACCCTTGGGGGTACACATGCCCCCAGTTGACAGCCCTGGTAAAAGATATCAAATTTACCCAAAGAACCTTGTCTATATGGTAAGTATATACTTATGCTAAAGTCACAAACATTAAAGAAAATACAAAGAGGTCTAGCTTTGTTAGCATGGCCAAGAAATTAAGGAGGAAAAACAGAAGGTAATAAGGAGGTATTTCAGTTCAGTGGGAAGATAACTAAAGAATCTTTTCCCTCTGAATCTGTAATTTCACGCTGGGAATAAATTTTGACTAACTAGCACTTTCCAAAATCACAGGAAAACTAGTTTGACCTCAGTTACAAGGGTATTAAACAAAAACATAGAAACTGGCCATTCAGAGATATTTTTTTCAAGTTAACAATATACACATGTAATGCCCATGCACACTTGTGTGCGCTTCTGCTTGCTGTTGTGGTTTTTTTCTGTTTTTATTTTTTCTTTTCTTTTCTTTTCTTTTCTTTTCTTTTCTTTTCTCCTTTGGCATATGGGCAAGATGTCCTCCCTTGTTCTAGCCATGTGCTCTTCTCATAGAAAGCTAGGGCTTTGTATCTGGGTAAGACATGTAAAATACTCTGGCCTGATTGGCCAGGGGGGGCAAAGCCTTCTTCAGGCCGATTGGTTAAGAGAGAGACTGGACTGTGGCACTCCCTGACTGGACAAGGCTAAGGTGATGTAATGCTCAGTCAGCTAGTATGTTTTGGCAGTTAGCTTTAGCAATGTTTTTAGCAATATTTTAACAATTTAAACTCAAAGCTATGTCTACTTTGGCTTCAATGACTTAGCTATAAGGATTTGGTTTTGAAATGGGATGATTGTTTTCCCCTTTGATTGTAAAGATCTATCAAAGTAAAGTGGTAGGGGTCATCTGTAACACTTCTCCTTTTACAGTTATGCTGGAAAGAAATTAGGATGTATTTCTGGATTTATATACTTCATTTCAGAGGCTGATGGAAGGTGTTGGCCCTCACCTGCTACTGGTACCCCAAAATGTGAATCTGGCCGTTCTTACTGCCAACCAGTCCCTGGCACAAGGGTTACACATACACATATAGAGGAAATACAGACAGAAATATGGAGACCCAAGGCAACCCTCTATATAAAAGACCTGCTGCTAGCATTTATATCATCTTTCCTAGTGTCTGACTTCTTCAGCAATAATGTAAATACAAGCATGTGCTTTGCTTTCAGTTAGACACAGGAAAAGTTTACATCTTGTGCACTGGGGCAAACAATAAAAGTTGAGTTGTAGGCCTATCTCATTTATCAGGGATTTGTTCATCAATATAACTGTGATAATGGTAGAAAACACCGAAATCAAAGATGGCCAGAAGCAAGTAACGTAACACATTAATCAGGAGATACCATGAAAAAAGAAGTGGCGTTTTCCAAACAGGAAAGTGGAGTTTTCCAAACAGTACTACATGATCTCTTTGGGGACAGTAGCTACTAAATGTCTGTGCAAGCCCAGCAGCAATACCCTCAGTCTGTGTGTTGTTCTCAAATGATCAAGGAGTTAAGTATATAGAACAATAATACTAATTTATTCAGAGTGCCCTCTTAGTGCTACCTCTGCTGTTCTCTCCCACCCTTTTCCCAGGCTGATGTAACAACTTATATATGACACTGTTAATGGTATCCAAACAGTAAGCATGTGCAGCAGTGATGCAGGTAGACAAAGTGATGCGACCAACATTTTATGAGTCATAAGGTTTCTTAGGAAAGAATGTAGACCAGCAAAGCTTCAGTCAACATGAAACTTCCTTGCAGACATGAGCTACTGCAAGGACTTGTAGAACATAAAATAAACAGCCTCTCAGGGTCTCACATAATAAATCAGTCCCATGGAGGAGCCAACCAGAGAATTTGAGTGAGGCAGGACCTTTACAAACATTTTCTATCATTTTTCTACCAGCAGATCACTGAGGGGGTAGATTCGATCATTCCAACGCAACTAATGCTCTGATAATATCGCTTCTGTTTGTTGTCCCTTTCACATGGCATGCAGCACTATACAACTGTTTTAAACATACACAGCTATGAATTAACAGTGTCTTTAAAATTTACTTACCTCAGAGCCTACACTGAGGATATGACAATTTCCCCTTTAGGCACTGTACTCTAAAAGGAGGAGATGTTGGATCCTTCACATATCCCTCTTTGCAAACAAATTCTATAAAATCTCCAGATGCAGAATATAATTTCCCTACTGGAGTCCATTTCAGCTTAATATTGTTTTTCTCCAAATCCTCTTCAGATACTGTACAGGGCTCTGGAAACAGGAACATATAATTCAACTGTTTACACATGGCTTTGCCATGGGAAATTTCATTTGTGCAATCTTATATTACAAACCCTTTAGGTTGAAGAATATTTCAGGGAAGATTTGTGCTGGAGCAGCTGAGGTTTTGAGAGCAGGTATGACCCTGAGATAAGCCTTCAGGAGTTCTTCTGGTATTTGCAGAACTGAACAATTGGGGGTCAATGCACCACAATATGCTTCAGCCACACCTTCCTCAGCACTAATTGTTGAAAGCTGACATTAACCTAAGCAGGGGTGGGCAGTCCAGGCACCAGCCCTGGGCACTGCCACTTAGAGAGGACACAAGAACAGTAGCCAGTGCCAGCCCAGTTATCACTAAAATCCTTTGACAATTTAATGAATTATTTATTTATTCACATGCAACTTACGCTTTTTCCTTTAAAAAATGGTATTTCAAAACTGGGATGCATGTCTCTACTGGGGAAGCTGATTTCTTTGTCTGAATGGACGCATGAAGATACCATGCAGTAATGGCTTCTACTTTTCTATGGACCAGCAAGCAAGAAGGGTGGAGTCCAGTTCTAACCTTCACACAGTTGCTGCTGAATTCACAGCAGCTTTTGGCTGGGTGGTAAAAGTATTAACACTATAGCCTAAGGCAACCAATGAATTAGTTGATGCATGTCATTAGCATTCATCTTGGGCTCTGAAAAAGTGATTTAAAAAAAAAAAATTCTGCTTTCCAAAAGTAAGATGCATGCCTTATTTGGGGGGGTGTGGTATGCAAGGAAAAAAGCAGTAATTTCAGGGTGACTGGCTGGAAATGCTGACCATGTATCATTATTTCACAGTAGCAAAGGGCATGAGAGTGTTGGGCTAATGCCTCTGATAACCCACACTGAGGGCCAAAATATGTCCTTCACACATTCTGTTTTAAATCAAGTTTGTAACCTTAATCTGGGGGGAATTTCAGAATCAATGACAGCTGACTTGGACCCCACTACTAAAAACCACCACACTACAGAACTCATCACAAAACAGTTTTATTAAAAAAAAACATTCTGCCCACCTATGCAAGTTGGAGGCTCTGTCCATTCCCCTACATTGCATGTAGCAAATTGAGACCCCTCCATGACATATAGATGTTGGCATTTGTATTCCACTCTTGAGTCTTGTTCATACTGTTTCAATGGAAAGGAAGTGATATCTCCATTTTCAATAGCAGGTGGGGGCCCACACTTTCCAAAAAATTCTGTAAAAACAGAAATGTTACAGATGATCCTTACTAATTAACTTTAATAGATCATTACGATCAATTAAAGGGGAAAATAATCGTTGTATTTGAAAACCAAATCCAAACTAAATCACTGAAGCCAAATTGACAAAATATTATTTCTTCATAAAATAAAAAAATGAGTGGCTCTAGCTTTCTCAACCTCTAATTCAGGGCCATGTTTCAGATGGAGAATGTGTGGTAGTATAAGATCATTTAGTTCCCAAGCATTGCAGACCCACTAATTCTACCATCCTGTTTTCAACCAACTGACTTCCAAAGAAAAAAGGAGGAGGCTTGGACAAAACTCCTCCATATCCATGGCTCTGCTTAGGACACTTAGGGCATATAAATACCAATTTAAATGAAAAAGAACCCCCCCCCCAAAAAAATTAAAAAAAAATAAAGCCCCAAACCATCCAGAATACCTGTGCTTTGATATTATTAGGTTTTGGCATTATGGGGTTTTTCCCATTTGTAATTTATATTTTTAAGATCAGAAGCTCTGTTTTGACAGATGGCTGATCTGCAAAAAAAAGAGAGATCCAAGGAATGTGGTTATGTACAGGGACCATCCGGATGCAAGCATTAGATTATCTATTATTCCTGAATAGTTCTTTCCAAACAAATGTTATTGCTTGGTAGTGAGACTGATTCTGCAAACCCTGCCTAGAACCCAGGTGTCCTACTCCCTAGTCAGGCAACCAAGCCATTAGGCTAGTGGCCTAAGAGACTAGGAGTGTTCTTTCTTGCAGTTGGAGAGGGCAATCCTAATTCCCCACAGAGAGAAACAGAATACTACTAAACTACTACTGTCCAGAAGTACTATGTACACCACAACTTTGGTGGATGAAGGGCAAATAGGATCTGACCTAACCTGATAAACTTATAATTGGACTGCTATCATGTCCCCTTTTAAGTACCTTTTGCTCAGCTTGAACATGCCTACCAAAGTATCTCCCCATATGACTTGCTTATTGAGATCTCTATCATCTTTGTCACCCACCTCTGGAGCCTCTCTAATTTCTCCATGTCCTTTGTAAAATGTGGAGCCCAAAGTTAGATACAATCCTCTGGGTGAGGTGTAACCAGTGCAGAGTAGAGAAACATCATCACCTCCCATGTCTTCCACCTAATGTTTCTATTGATACATCCCAAAACTGAATTTGCCCTTTGTGCTGCTGCATCACACTGCAGACTCACATTGAGTCCATGATCTACCAAGACTCCCTGATCTTTGTCCATCATGCTGCCATCCAGACAGGTATATGCCACCCATGTTGTAGTCGTGTTTTTGATTATTCTTCCAGAGGTGTAGCACATTGCATTTGTCTATGGGTCAATGTTAGGTGCTTCCCTCTAGTACACTCTTGTTGAATCTACACTGATAATATAATAGAATTTCAGAGACTTTAAACATCACTTACAAGCATGGAAAACCAACTGGATTCCAGGAATGGGTTAATGGTAACAAGTTGTATCGAGTTTTTTATTGGCCTTTCAGTTGTAGACCTGAGAGAGCTACATTTGCATTTTAATTGGGTCAGTATCTGGTTGGTTTTTAGTGTAGTAAGCTGAGGTCCTGGAGCAAGCTGTTGTTAATCACTTTGACTTAATGAAAGTCCTTGGCTTGAAATGTGATGCATTATCTGCCTAAATAAAGTTTCTTGTGTTGGGATGCACTGGTTGGTCATTCATGCAGATGTTCACTAGTAGAGGTATGAATACATTCCCTTGAGGGAGGCAATTTCCTCATCTCAAACTTCAGGTCTGCTTTTTGACCATTTGATGTAGAATCACTGGTTTCCTGTTAGAGATTCTATTGGCTTTGTTCAGTGATAATCTTTCATCATCCTATAGATATTGGCAAGAAGCCTTTGGTGGTTTATTGTGTCATATGCTGCTGAAAGCTCTGCAGACATGATACCTATGACCTGTGATCTTTTTTTGGTGCACTGAGTGATGTTCAGCAGTTGGCCAGTAAAATGCACCGCTCAGGCAGAATTTAGCCCTCTCTGGGTTCAGGTGCTTCCACAAGAAGTGAAAGACAATTTATGATGAGACTTATATAGAATTTCTACAGAAGACATAGCTCAAACCAAGGCCCAAATTTCTTTGCTTCAGAAGCATCGTTCTCTGGCTTTAGCAGTACATGCATTCTTGGTTGCTACATCTTAGAGATTTTTAACATGGATTTAAGAGGTGGAATAATTGAGCCTTATTCCAGCTTGATCTTAAGTGATCAGTTTTGCCATTCTTGAGGGAGTTTATTTCCACATATTAGTTTGCTAGTTGAGTACTGTACCTCAGTGTAATTAATTCCCTGGTCTTTTATCAGTGAATCCTTTTTTTGCTTTATCAGCCTTCAAAGAGTTCATCCTATCACTAACTTGGTCTTTATTAAAGTTGTTGTGTTTTTCTCAGGCTATTGATAAGTTTCCATACGGCTGTCCATGCTTCCATACTGTTTTGGGACATGTCTATACTTTGTGTGAGGTTCTGCCTTGACTTCCATCTTTTCTCCATCAGTGCTGAGACCACTTCTTCACAAGCTCTGATGCTTTCCATGGTGAGTGGATCCACTTTATACCCTGGCTCATATTTCCTATATCAATAGGCTATTTTGTTTGATAGTTATGGCACAGTTAGTTCTGTAGCCTCCTGGGACAGGTTTCTTTGAGGACGTGTGCACTATTTTCTGGTGATAGTGCACTACTGATTTCTGTATGGTAGCATCTAGGGCCTTGGTAAAGCCTTTCCACTTTTTTTTTTTTTTAATTAAAATGCAGCAAAAGGGTGCTGAATCTGGTTTTTAACAGCAGTTTTTATCTACTGTATTTACTTGTGCAACCCGGGTGGTACACAGAAAAGTACTTCCTCTCCGATTCAAGGGAAGTCAGCAGGTGCAGGTATACTGTGGGGAGCATGGCTGCCTAGCTATGGGCCATCTCACCTCCTTTCCCTACCAGCTCACTTCCTTTCTCTATGGAGCAGAGCAGAGACCCAGGACACCCAGTGATATTTAACTATGTACAGTTTTAATGATACAAAATAATATAAAACTTATAACCATAAACTTACACACACACACACACACATTCATAGGTTATTTACAGATATAGGTTTACACCAGCAATAGCTCTTTCAACTCTGAACTCTGGCACAGGCCTATCCCCCGTGGCCTTCTGAATAGACTGCAGCCTACTGCCCCTCAACAGAGCCCTCTAGCAGCAGGCAAAGGAGCACTGAAGGATAAAACACAGGTTAATTAACAATTCAACATAAGGACTAACCAGCAGTGATGGAACAATAATTGAACATACATGATCAAGTTACATCAGTAGAGTCACCAACACATATGTGGTTAACCAATACAATTGAACATAATCAGCTTATAATCCTTTTATATAGCAGCAATAGGGATGCAATATTACAAACAGAATCCCAAATGCATATATAACCAGACCACAACTACTGGCACAGTAACTGTTCCCTAAGAAGATATAGCAGCCAAGGAAAAGATCCCATTACCCAGTAGGACATCATTACCCTATCCCAGGTTGCTGAACTAGGAGGGCCCTGTAACCATGACACCCCCCTTAAACAGGGGTCCTAGGCTCTCTTCTGTGCCTATGGGCAAATCTCCCCGACTCAGAGGCTTCTCCTTCATTCCCCACAGTGAGGAAGGCCCCTTGTCCTCTGTGGGAATCCCCTTTCTGGGTAACTCATGACTCGCAGCATCCTGCCTCTTCGAGAGTGGTCATCCCTCTGGTCGCCTCTCATGGCAGGAGGGTCCAAGCTGCCTGGCAGCTGCCAGATCCAGCCACACCGTGCAAGACTCTGTGCACCAAGGAGGCTGGGATCCTGCCTCATTCAGGGTTGGAAACCCACACTGCCTCATGTAGCTGCCAGGGTCCTGTCAACTCCATGTTGGCCCTCAACAAGAGGGCCAACGTGGTTCCGATCTTCAAAAAGGGGAGGAAGGAGGACCCGGGAAACTCTAGGCCAGTCAGTCTTACCTCGATCCTGGGCAAGCTGTTCGAGAAAATTATTCTGGCACACATCCAGGAGGGGCCAGCAGGGAAATGCATGCTCAGGGGCAACCAGCACGGATTCATCAGCGGCAGATCATGTCAGACCAACCTGGTGGCCTTCTACGATCAGGTCACTAAATCATTGGATG